AAGTCCTCTTCACTTTCAGCAAGCAAGGTTGTATCATCTGCATATCACAGGTTGTTAATGAGTCTTCCTCCAATCCTGATGCCACATTTTTCTTCTTATAACTCAGTTTCTCGAATTATTTGCTCAGCTTGCAGGTTGAATAGTATGGTGAAAGAATGCAACCCTGTTGCACACCTTTCTTAATTTTAAACCAGTGTTTCCATGTTCTGTTCGAATAACTGCCTCTTGGTCCATGTACAGATTCCTCATGAGCACAATTAAGTGTTCAGGAATACTCATACTTTGCAATGTTGCGCATAGCTTGTCATAATCCACACAATCGAAAGCTGTTGTGTAGTCAGTAAAGCCATTAGAGAGCTGCAAATCAAAACAACAATGCCATACCAGCAATAACAGCAAAGATCAAAAAAGTAGAGGACAATAAATGCTGGTGAGGATGCGGAGAGACTGGGACCCTCCTACATTGCTTGTGGGATTGTAAAATGGTTCAACCACTCTGGAAAACAGTATGGTGCTTCTTCAGAAAGTTGAAAATAGAAATACCTATGATCCAGCAAGTCTTCTACTTGGTGTTCATTCACAATAAATATGAGCCATAACGTGAGTAGATGTATGCACACCAATGTTCATAACAGCACTATTTACAATAACAAAAAAGTAGAGACAGCCTAAATGTCCATCAATGGAAGAATGGATAAACGAACTGTGGTACATACACACAATGGAATATTATGCTACCTTGAAGAATAACAAGCTGTAAGCCACCGCAAAACATGGATGAACCTTGAGGACATTATGCTGAGTGAAATTAGTCACAAAAATATAAATAAATACTGCATAGGACCATTATTGGAAAAGCTTAAGAAAAAGTACCCACACTAAAAGGGGGAAAAAATTGTTGGTTACCAGGGTGTAGGGGGTGGAGCGAAGGGAGGGAGGGGAAGGTGGAGCACAGGGTAGGGAATAAGACACAGGATAGTTTGGGTGCTGGGGAGGGCAATACACCAGAAGGTGGAGGGGAATGGAAGAAAGGGTGGATGGGAGAACATTTGGCAGGTTTGCATGGGCTACGTAGGACAGAGGTAAACAGTGATGTAAGCTCAACCTTGGAACAACAGTGTTCTGGGATACAGAGATTGAGGCATGGTTTGAATGGATGAAAGAGGGAAAATAATGTTAAGATGCTTGGCTGTCTTTTAAATCTTGGTTTCCCTGGCATACCATTATAAAATAGACACTTGAGGGGGAGAGAAAGGAATAGCTAGAAATATCACCATAGAAAGCTTGTAAGTCCGTCTTCTGCCTATAACAGATTGGAATACCTAAAATGGGGCTACAATGTGCCCAGTGAAGGAAGCTCTCTGCAGACCCTTTCCATTGCATAAGACCATAGGTAGAATCCTGAACAGCATCCAGAATTTTCAGAGGTAGGAAATTTCCACCTGAAAGGACAAGCAGACCAGCCTGGAGCAGCTAGAAGAACAGAAGATACTTCTTGAAAGAAAGACCAGCAGGAAAAATAAAAAACAATAACAGCAGTCTGATTGACTACTACAAGAACAAGCAAGTTGTTTCCCCGGGAGCCATCAAGGCAAGTGTTCAGGTCCCCTCAAGGCAAACCCCCTTCCAAGACTAAAACTCAAGGGGAACACACTAGCAGGTGTGTGGTCTTGCTGCTGACCACATTGGTCACAGATAAGCTGAAGTGGAAGGAAAACAGCAATGAAGTGAGCTAAGTCCAACTACATTCGATAGATTTCTGTTAACTTGGATTGAGATCTGATTGGCCAGCAGTATGACGAGACCTGGGGACTCCTGGGCCCAAGGACAGGGACATGGCCCCAGAAGACCAGAGTGGAGTGTGAAGCATCCAGCTGATAAGAAGTGAGGGGAGATGCACAAGAACATCTACACTTGCAGATAGTACCCATTTGACCTGGCTTCAATGGCTGGATGATCAGAACACAACTAGAGGAAGAAAAAAGACGAAAAAAAGAGTAGTCCGCTACAATTAGATGAAATTGACCTATGCTTGTGGATGCAGTATGGCAAAGGAGCAAACAAATCTTTACAATGAGGATCATTCCCACCCCCTTGGTACACAGGGTCAACAAGGATGGGTAACAGCCATTGGCTACCCAAAATGGTGGGGCGGGGGGGAGGCTGCAAAGTCTAGAAGTGCCTGGCTTACAAACTTTCAATAAGGAACCTAGTTTCAGAGGGTACGGGCAAAGGTAGAATCCACACTGAGTTGTTTCCAACCTGTCTGGATGGGGTTGATAAAAGGTGATGGCGATAAGACTCTTGTGGTTCAATAGTGAATAATTGCTATCAGGACTGACTGTGAGGGTCGGAAATGTAAAGGTAGATGTTTTGCAACAAAAGGAGGGGAGTGGTTGATTTTGCAGTCCAGGAGCAGAGGTCCCTGGGCACATCAAGTGAGAAGAGTGGAGTGCAGGACCCTACCCAGAGAAGCAGTGACGCCAGAAATGGAGGCAGAGATGATAACATGGACAGAAGGAGTGGCTGGGGACTCTGGACTCGGAGAGGGGCTGTGTGCTGGTGGCTGGGGGCAGGCTTGTGGGGTGTACCCTTTGGTGGTTCGATGGATGATGCATGGAGGGGATTGTAATCATTGCAGTGAAACGAAGTACGATAGGATGAATGTAAAGCTGGCGTTCTCCCATGTAGACTATCACATAATTCATAGTTAAAACTTTAAAAAACAACGGCAGTCCAATTGACTATTACAAGAACAAGCAAGTTTTTCACCGGGGAGTCATTAAGGCAAGTCGTTGGGTTCCCTCAGGGCAAATCCCCTTCCAAGACTGAGACTCAAGGGGAATATACGAGCAGGCATTTGGTCTTGCTGGTGACCACGTTGGTCTACTGATAAGGGGAAGTGGGGGAAAACAGTAATAAAGTTGTGAGCTAAGTCCTACCATGTTCAATAGACTCCTGTCAACCTGAATTGAGACCTGGTTGGCTAGCAGTTTGGCAAGATCTGGGGACTCCTGAGCCCACGGACAGGGGAATAGCTACAGAAGACTAGAGTGGAGAGTGATGCATCCAGCTGATAGGAAGTGAGGGGAGATGCACAAGAACACCCATACTTACAGATAGTACCCATTTGACCTGGCTTCAATGCCTGGATGATCAGAACTCGACTAGAGGAAGAAAGAAGAAAAAAGAGTAATCTGCTACATTTTGATGAACTTAACCTATACTTATGGATGTAGTAGCTCAAAAGAGGGAATGAGTCTTTATAGCAAGGATCATTCCCACCCCCTTCGTACACAGGTTTGACAGGGATGGGCAATTTAGACATTGGCTACCCAAAATGGAGGGGGCCTACAAAGGTACGAAGTGACTGGCTTACAAGCTTTCAAGAGGGAGCCTAGTTTCAGAGGGTGCAGGGGAAAGTAGACTCTCCACTGAGTGGTTTCCAACCTGTCTGGACAGGACTGTTTATAGGAGATGGAGATAAGACTCTTGTGGTTCAATAGCAATTTGTTGTCAGGACTGATTGTGAGTGCTGCAAAAGGAGTGGAGTGGTTGATCTTGCAGTCCAGAGCAGAGGACCCTGGGACCATCAAGGTAGAAGAGCAGAGTGTGGGACCCTATCCAGAGAAGCAGCGACGCCAGAGATGGAGAAACTGGGGACTCTGGACTCAGAGAGGGAGAGGGGCTGTGTGCTGGTGGCTGGGGGGCAGGCTTGTGGAGTGGGGTGTACCCTTTGGTGGTTTGAATGGTTATATAGTCCTGAGTGCTTCGGTGTACATCCAAAAAAAGAAACAGAGGGATTGGAAGCAAATGCTGTTGAATGATGATGCATGGAGGGGATTGTAATCATTGCAATGAAACAAAATACGATAGGATGAATGTAAAACTGATGTAAATTCCCATGTAAACTATCACTCAATTCACAATAAAAAACTTTTTTAAAAAAAGGACTCCTAGAGTCCTGGTGTGGCACTCTAAGATCAGCACTGGACTTCAAGCCACAGGAGCAGCATTTCTAAGCCACCAGCTTGTTATGAGTTGAACCAACTCTGGCATTTAACAGCAACAAAGGGTAAGGAGGAGTTGACCATAGTTGGACATTCATAACCTGGGAACTGCCTGTACAGCTTCTTCCAGAATTTGCAGATTTACAAGGGAATGTAGGATAGCAAGTATTCCAGTTGTATCCTGTACAGAATAGGAAGTCGATGAAAGTCACACTTTTCATCTTTGTAGTCTTATGCCATTGGGGAACAGAAGAGTTTGACCTGTCTTTCTCTCTGTCCTCCAGCTCCAAGAGCATCAAGAAGACATTGAGGGAATGATGAATGCCCTCTTCAGAGGTGTCTTTGTACATCGGTACCGGTGAGTTGGTGGACTCCTCTTAATTGAAGCTGCTGGTGCTTGGTTATGCAATCTGTCAGAAATGATTAGACTGCCTCCTAATCCTAAATTATGTGATTAATCCCATAATGGAGCAAAACCCAACAACTTTTCAAATTAAAAGACAGTATATCCCACCCACAAGTGGAGCCCTGGTGTGGTGCTGTAGCTAAACGTTCGGTCACAAGATTTGTTTGAACCACAAAGTCAGTGCTTCAGACCCACCAGTCACTCCTTGGAACCCCTTTACAGAGTCTCTATTGAGTCGGAGTCGACCCAAAGGCACTTACCAACAACAGACCAAGGTGCTTTTAAGCTCTTAAGAAATAAGGCATTGCTCAGTATTACCCAGTTTTGCCTTGGAAGGACAAGAGCAGGGAAACGAGGCAGTACTTTCTGAGGGATGCTTGCAACTTGGCAAGCCTTTTTCTTGCCCCTACTGCAGTTTCATGTGCTAGTCAAATTAACTTACAATGAACATCTTTGATTTCTCACTCACTCTTGCATAGCTTTTAACCTGGCTTTTATAGAACCATTCACTGAGTTACATTGTTTTCAAGTGGAATTAGTACATTCACACAATTAGGACAACAGTTAATGAAATTTTAAAATCAGGTTCTAAAAGGGGGGATAGAAGATAAAATTGTACAGCGCTGATTCAAGAAAACCTTTAAATATATATGTAGTAATTACACTGGGAGGAAGAAATGAGAGTCATAAAACATGGTATTTAGTGAAGAAAATTATTCTATGTCAGGATGGAAACCAGTTGGGCGAAAGGGACTAATTTACCTGTTTCTAGGGATGTGCTTCCTGAAATCCGTGCTATCTGCATCGAGGAGATTGGGTCTTGGATGCAAAGCTACAGTACCTCTTTCCTTACTGACAGCTATTTAAAATACATTGGCTGGACCCTGCATGATAAGGTGGGCATTGTCTCCTTTCTTCCTATTTCCTTCATTCTCTTCCTGCCTTGGAATGGGTGATCCAGTTTTTTGGTCTTGCCACTTACATATTTTACCTAGTAAGCAGTGATCACCCATCAAATTACTGAACTTCAAAACTCCCCCAGTAATAGGGAAGAGTGGAATAAGATACAGGAAAAGGACACATCCAGGAGATAAAATGTTTCTACCTGAGGTAAAGGAAGTTATTGATGGATCGGTAAGACAAATGCTAGCGTGGAAACAAAACAATCTTTTCAACATGATTGTGAAATTCTGATGTGGTACTTTTTTTTTTTTTTTTTTTAAAGTTGGAAGACTCTTGTCTCTGTGACATCTCATGAGTTCTCAGCACAGAGGACATTCAGGCCCAGAATGAGTTATCTTAGAGGGAATATGGAGGCCCAGTAGGGGTGAGGAGTTGGGCACATTTCCATTCTTTTTTACCCTTCTCACTAGCATCGAGAAGTCCGTCTAAAGTGCCTGAAGGCTCTCAAAGGGCTGTATAGCAACCGAGATCTGACTGCGCGCCTGGAGCTCTTCACCAGCCGCTTCAAGGTGAAATTGAGATGGGATTCCTTTGCTTGTGCTTTTCTTGTGGTTCCCTTTTTCCTGCTTCATGTACTCCCACTTCTGCTCTTATATCACTATAGCAATCCCAACATCTGCTGCTCCACTTTCTTCTTCTTAGGAATCTTGAAAATTCAAAGAGAATGTGATGTTTTACCATGGGGCGAATGAAATACTGAGTAATGGCCCTTTCTCTACAGGACCGGATGGTATCCATGGTTATGGACAAAGAGTATGATGTGGCAGTGGAGGCTGTCAGACTATTAACACTTCTCCTTCAGTGAGTCCTGGGAAGTGGGAGACAGGCACCTTGGGCTTTTACCTTTCCAGCATTGAGCAGGCCCTTCCAAAGTTGTATCCCTGTACAGGTTGAGAGTAACAAGGTCTGCAGGAACATCATTTCTTGTCTTCTTTAACTCTTCATACTCCTCTGTCTTCCACTCATGTATATTTGCTTGTACCCTTAGCAGTGCTAGAAGACGAGCGCCCATACCCACACACTTCCTTCTCCTTTTCTGTGGTAGGAACATGGAAGGGGTGCTGACAGACACAGACTGTGAAAGCGTCTACCCTGTGGTGTATGCTTCCAATCGAGCGCTGGCCTCTGCTGCAGGAGAGTTTCTTTACTGGAAGTAAGTGGGGCACCTTTCCATCACCTGCTGCTCCTCTGCGTAAGCACTGCCCATACCTGTGTTAACATCTTGTTCTGTGTCTCCTTTCCCCCCTCAGTTCCTTAGGGCTTTCTTTAGCTCTGTGCCTCTTTTCCTTTATGCCTCCTCTCCTTGGATGAGTTCTTCCTTCCACATGACCATTCCACTCCTTGTTCCCTCCCATGCTGCACTTTTTCCCTGTGTCACTTCCACCAGGTTCTTCTTCCCTGAATGTGGGACAAGAGTAGTGAGTGGAAGAGAACGACACCGAAGCCCAGGCTCCCAGAGGACTTTCTTTCAGCTCCTGCTATCCTTCTTTGTGGAGAGTGAGGTGACATATGGGAAGGAGCTGTCCATAGAGCACTGTCGGAGGAGTTGTGTAATGTGACATCAGTACTTCATGTGTGCCCTTTTCCACAGCTCCATAACCACGCTGCTTACTTAGTAGATAGCCTGTGGGACTGTGCAGGGTCTCAGCTGAAGGATTGGGAGAGTCTGACAAGCCTGCTGCTGGAGAAGGATCAGAGTGCGTGCCATATGGTAGCCCAGGGTGGGGTCTGAAGCCAGAATAGATTGTTTTCCTGTTCTGTAGACAGCAGCATAGGTGTCATGGAGATGGGGGAAACTTGGGAATGAAGAGTGACTCATCTCTAATCCTGTTTTTGATCCCCCTGCCATCCCAGACCTGGGTGACATCCAGGAGAGCACACTGATAGAAATCCTGGTGTCCAGTGTCCGGCAAGCTTCAGAGGCTCACCCACCTATTGGCCGGGTCACTGGGAGGAAGGTATGGAATGAGGTGTAAACTGGGCAGGTGCTGCCCTTCCTTATCCTCAGGTATTGGTTAGGGTACCCCTTCTGTTTCCCTTCAAAGAATTCCATTTTGGGGGAGGAAATCTCAAAGCAGCTGCTGCATTCTCTTCTGCTTCTTGGGCAGACAAAGTCCTGGAGAGGAGTGATGCACACATCCTCTTGACCCAGTTCTCCACACCTTTTCCTGCCCCAAGTCACTCTCATTCCAGGGGTTAACTGCCAAAGAACGGAAGATCCAAGCTGAGGACAAGGTGAAACTGACTGAGCACCTCATCCCCTTGCTTCCCCAGCTCCTGGCCAAGGTAGAGCTGCCTCCCCATCCCACTCCAGCTCCAGGGCATGAGCAGGGGTACTGAAAAGCCTCAGTGAGAATGGAAATAGGAGTTTGTACTCTAGTAGCTAACCAGCGCAGTTTGTTGTCCAATCACCACAGTTCTCAGCGGATGCCGAGAAGGCTGCTCCCCTGCTGCAGCTTCTCAGCTACTTTGACCTCAGCATCTACTGCACCAGACGCCTGGAGAAGGTGAGCTGGGAGGAAATGCTTCCTGTACCTTGCTGCTCCCACCCAGGGCCTAAGGTTCTGTCTGGTTCCAGAAAAATCAGTAATCTTTTCCTTTGTTAGTTCTCTTACCCTTAAAGTTTAATGCTTTCAGTCCTATTTCTTAACTCCCTCAGATTTCCCCCCTTCCGCAAGAGTTATCCTCTTGCCCCCTGCAATGCTGTCCTCATCACCTTTTCTCTCCCAGCACCTGGAGTTGCTCTTGCAACAGCTCCAGGAAGTGGTGGTGAAGCACACTGAGCCAGCTGTCCTGGAGGCTGGAGCTCGCGCCCTCTGTCAGCTCTATAAGCCTGAGTTCACTTTCTTCAGCCGGGTGGACTTTGCTCGCAGTCAGCTGGTGGATCTGCTGACCGACCGCTTCCAACAGGAACTTGAAGAGCTACTACAGGTAGGAACTGAGACTAAAGGATAGGGCACCTCACACTAGAGTGGGAGAGATCCCCAGGAAGGAATATGGATCTATATGCTCCTGGGAAAGTCCGACTGAGGGCCTTCTTCCTTCTGCAGTCTTCCTTCCTAGATGAGGACGAGGTCTATAGTCTGGCCGCCACTCTAAAGCGCCTCTCTGCCTTCTACAAGTGAGCAACTCCCCATCCATCTCCCTCTTATATTTTTACAGGAAGCCTGTGAAGTTAACATTTACATTACTCTTCCAGTTTAACATTTACCTCTTTCATCTTTCCTCCCCTCCCACAAGCGCTCATGACTTGACTCGCTGGGAGCTCTATGAGCCATGCTACCGACTCCTCCGGAAGGCTGTGGATACAGGAGAGGTTCCTTGCCAGGTAAGTAGACAAGTTGGAGACGTGGAAGCAAAAGAGGATATTCAGGGATCCTGCATCCACTTTCCTAGGTGGTTCAGTCCTAGGGACAGAGGGAGGCAGATTCTGGTGTACCGATCTGTCTGTTTATTCTTGGAAGATGGGTCCTCTTTTCCAGTGTCTGAAAACATTCTCTCTTGGTTTCTGGGAATCAAGGGTACTGTTGAAGAATTCTAGGAATTCACGTAAATTTAGGGAAAAGTAAAATTTCTACTCGTGCTAGAAGCCTCTGAAGATTGTCAAGAGTACTAATCCTTTTCTACCAGAAAAGGAATAGGGTCTCCTCTAACCTTATGTTTTCTGTCGTTACTATTTTTGTGTGTCTGGCTGCCTGTCTTTCCCACTTTGTCTTTCCTCTTCCCCTCCCTCTTGCTCCTTGCTCACACCTTGTTTTTCTAATTTTTTTTTTCTCATTTGATTGTTTCAGGTGGTCCTTCCAGCCTTGACTCTAGTCTATTTTTCCATCCTCTGGACACTAAACCACGTTTCTGGATCAGATGCTCCTGAGGTAAGTATTGGTGTGAGCGAGGGAAGGAAATGGCGGAGCCTGCGTCTTTATCCTGCCCTCTACCGTCTTTTTCCACAGAAACAGCTATTGAGTTTGAAGGAGAGATTGGTGGGCTTTTGTGAGCTCTGCCAGAGCTGCCTCTCAGATGTGGACCCTGAGATCCAAGAGCAGGTAAGAGTTAACTCAAGTGAGAATAACAAGGCACGGATCCTACTCATGGTCTGAGGAGACCCCATTCTAAAGAGAAATTAGCTGTTTAATCTGTATCTTGGTAAATACTCTTTTTCTAAGCATTCTTTTTTCCCTCTGTCTCTCCCAACAGGCTTTCATCTTATTAAGTGATCTGCTTCTCATCTTCAGCCCTCACATGACTGTAGGGGGATACGATTTCCTTAGGCCACTAGTCTTTTTCCCTGATGCCACTCTCCAGTCTGAGCTAGCCAGCTTCCTCATGGACCATGTCTTCATCCAGCCTGGGGACCTGGGCTGTGGTACAGGGATTCTATACCACTTTGGGGCTTGGGCCTGGCTCAGGAATATAGAATGGGAGTCATAAATATGTGGTTCTAATCTTTCTGCATTTGGTGGTTTGGGCCAGGTGATTCCCAGGAGGATCATTTACAGATAGAGCGGCTCCATCAGCGGCGCCGCCTCCTGGCTGGATTCTGCAAGCTGTTGCTGTTTGGGGTACTGGAGATGGATGCAGCCTCAGATGTTTTCAAACACTACAACAAGGTACAGTGAGGGACTGTGAGAATCAAAGAGAAGGGACCAAACCGTCCCAACCATGATTTCAAACACTGTGTTGTTGCTGTTTTTAAGTGGCGTTGAGTCAATAGCGACCCTGTATAGGGTTTCTGAGGAGCAGCTGGTGAGCTTGAACCTCCTACCTTGTGGTTCAAACCAACTTTGCAATCCAGCATGTTAATCCACAGTACCGCACCAGAAGGGAGGGTAGAGTGTTAGGTCTAAAAAGAGCCTTGGTAGTAAATAATGGAGAGAAACTTGTTAAACAAGAGGAAGTTTACTGGAGGGGAAGTATCTTATTTATGCTACTCAGAAATCTTTTTTTAACTATTTTCCTCAACCTAGCCTATGAAATGGAGTCCTGATGTGGTGCCATAGGATAAGCACTTGACCACAAGGTTGGTTTGAACTGCAAGGTCAGTGGTTCAAACTCACCAGCTGCTCCTTGGAAACCCTATACAGGGTCTCTGTGAGTTGGAACTGACTGGACAGTACGTAACAACAATAGTCTATGAAATGGAGTGATGTAAGAAAGAAAAAAAAAAAGCTGAAAGAGGAATCAGGTCTCATAAGATACCTAGATGTGTATCTTGGTTTTCTCGGCCCACTATTGCATTACTATTTACTGAGCACCTACTTTGTGTCAAGCATCATTAGAGACCTTGACGACACAGCAGTGAACAAAACAGACAAAAAATCAAGCCTTCATGGAACTTGCATTCTATTGCAGGGGAGAGGCAAATAAGAAAGGCGTTAGTGCTGGATGAGAGTGAGCTCTGGCAGAATTGCTTTTCTTCTTCTCCAAGTTTTCCTAAACTCTAACTTACTTTGGGCTTTTGGTCTATGGGCTAGAGAGATGAAGTCTATGGTCAGATTCGATTTTCCCTACCTATGGAGTCCTGGTATAGTGCTGTAGGATAAGCACTGGACTTGCTAACTGCAAAGTTGATGGTTCAAACCCATCAGCCGCTCCCTGAAAATCCTGTGCAGTGTCACTATGAGTCAGAACCAACTTGACATCACTTGACACCAACAGTAATAGCACTTCAGAAAGGGACATGTTAGGGATGTGGTGGTGGAAACTAAAGGTCCTGGGTCAAACTTTGTTTCTCCACTTCAACCTAAGTTCTATAATGACTATGGTGACATCATCAAGGAAACACTAACGAGAGCAAGACAGATTGACCGAAGTCACTGTTGCCGAATTCTGCTGCTAAGCCTCAAACAGGTATTCCCTTCTGCCTAGAAACCTTCAAGTCTGTGACATGCCCTCTTCATAGTCCACAGCTTTCCTGTCTGCCTCCACCATAGGAGCAGGGCCTTTGTAGTTTATTTGGGCTCTTAACGTTACATGATAAGTTCCTTTAGATAAAGTAAACTCTTAGAAAGTCTCCTTCCCAACCCCCTAGAAATTGAACTATCAACTAGAATATGAGAACCAATAATAACGTGAACTCCTACTCTTTATTTAGTCTGCTTTTACTCTGTCTACTTCACAGTTACTGCAGTTCTTTTTTGTTGTTTTAGAGCAGAGGTGAAGGCTCGCTGATGTAGGGACTCAGGGATGGGAGAGTATCTTGGAAGGAAAGCTGTAATAAAAGTAGCCTCTTAGCATTTCTGAGCAGAGAAAGGAATGCTGTACTTCACTACTTCCACCTTGTTCTTCCCTTCCCCAAATGGACCGTATCTCCTGGACACAGTTGTATACAGAACTGCTGCAGGAACAAGGACCCCAAGGCCTGAGTGAGCTTCCAGCCTTCATTGAGATGAGGGACTTGGCCCGGAGGTTTGCCTTGAGCTTTGGACCCCAGCAGCTACAGAACCGTGATCTTGTGGTCATGCTACACAAGTAAGGAAGTATTGGTTGGAAGTCAAGATACTTGGATAGTCCTATGAGGGCTGAGCCAGAGGATGTGTAGAGAGAGAGCTGGGAATACGATCTTGGAGGGAGGATACTGAGCATGTCAAGTAGAAAATCTGGTCAGTGGTGGCTGTGCTCTCAGAGACCAGTTGAGGGGAGGATGGACATGGATGGTATTCCTGGTCCCTAGGAAGGGACTGTCTTCCTAAAATCATTCTGTCCAATCAAGGGAAGGCATCAAGTTCTCCTTGTCTGAGCTTCCTCCAGCTGGCTCCTCCAGTCAGCCTGCAAACCTGGCATTCCTGGAGCTCCTTTCAGAATTTTCCCCGCGACTCTTCCATCAGGACAAGCAGCTACTGTAAGTTAATGCCTACAGATAGGGAAGAAGGGATGGTGAGGACCCCATGGCTACTTCAGCCTCTTCAGCCCACCTTTTTCTTAGCCTGTCGTACCTAGAAAAGTGCCTACAGAGTGTCCCCCAAGCAGCTGGCAATCCCTGGGCTCCAGTCACCACTTACTGCCACTCCCTCAGCCCTCTAGAGAACACAGCTGAGGCTAGACCTCAGATCTACTCCCGCTCCAAGAAGAGGCGCGCTGAAGGTAAATGCTTTGCGTGTGTTGTATCTATACGTGTGTATTGATTTCCAGATACACAGCCTTGCTTCTTTTACTGCTCTAGTTATGAGTCAGGCTGCTAACCTCAAGATCAGCAGTTTGAAACTACCAGTTGTTCTGCTGGAGAAAGGTGAAGCTTTCTGCTCTCATAAAAAGATTTACAGTCTCAGAAATCCCATGCAGAGTCACTATGAGTTGGAACTGACTCCACAGCACACCACCACTTAGATAAGCAGCAGTTATGGCCTCTTGCTTCCTTAAAACTTTTTATCTTCAGTCAAATTCTTAATTGTCCATCTGTTATCATTGTTGTTACGTGCTATGGCATCAGTTCTGTCTCATAAGTGACCCTGTATAGAGTTTCCAAGGAGTTTTTGACCCACTGGCCTTGTGGTTCACAGTCCAGTGCTTATTGTAGAGAGCCACCATGCTCCCTTGGGTGCTTATTAATGTTGTTGTTGTTGTTAAGTGCCGTCGAGTCGGTTCCGACCCATAGTGACCCTGTACAGGGTTTCTGAGGACATTAAAAATTATGTGACTTTTTAACATAACAACTTTGTTGAGGTGCATTTACATACTGTGAAATTCACCCGTTTAGAATGTGCAGTCCAGTGGTCTTTAGTGTACTCATAGGTTGTATAGCCATCACCACTGTCTGTTTTTGGCGTCCTGCTGTGGCGCTGTGGGTTAATGCGCCAGACTGCAAAGCCATTTGAACTGCAAGGTCGGCAGTTCAAGCTCACCAGCTGCTCCTCGGAAACTCTATACAGGGTCACTATGGGTCAGAACCAACTCAACGGCACTTAATGACAACTGTCTATTTTTAGAACATTTTCATTACCCAGAAAAATTCCATATCCATTAACTGTTCATCCTCTTCCACTCTAGTCTGCCTCCCTCCTAAGCAGTCAGTAGTATACTTTCTCTGTGGGTTTCTGTATTCTGAGCATCTTGTGGAGATGAAGTCCGATAGTATGTGGTCTGTTTGCCTGACTTCTTTCACAATGCAAGTATTGTCGTAGTTCATCCCATGTTGCACAATCCATCAATTCTTCATTTCTTTTTATGACTAAATAATACTTCCTTGCATGAATATATCTCATTTTGTTTATCCACTCATTAGTTGATGGACATTTGGATTGCTTCTACTTTTTGGTTGATGAGTAATGTTGCTCTGAATATTCATGTACAGGTTTTTTTGTGTGTATTTATTTTCATTCTCTTGGAATATGGGAGTGGAATTGCTGAGTCCTATAGAGTCCTGGTGTGGTGCTGTAGGATAGGCACTGGACTTCAAGGCCAGTTGTTCAAGCTCACCAGCCGCTCCTCAGAAACCCTATACAGGGTATGAAACAACAACAACAATAATGGGGACTGTAGTGCAGTGGCTTCATACAGTAAGCACTGGACTGTTTGTGAACCACAGGATCTGCAGTTTTGAGCCCACCGTCAGCTCTCTGGGAGAAGGATGAGGTTTTCTGCTCCTGAAAAGATCCAGAAAGCCTTAGAAACCTTATACAGGGTCACTATGAGTCAAAACCAACTTGACGGAACTTAACAACATGGTAATTCTGTTTACTACTCGTGTATCAGTTTGTTGTACTGTAGTGGCTTGCATATTATTATGATGCTATAATATAATTCCAGCAGGATCAACCGTGGTAAACAGGTTTCAGTTGAGTTTCCAGACTAGGAAGAAGGAGAGATGGACTAGTTTGGATTCTTTAGCCATGAAAACAGCATTGGACAGCTGTCAGCCCCAGAATATTGAATATTGAAACATGATGACGAGCACTAGAATATTGTCAGGTAAGTGCTGGAAGATGAGCGCTGCAGGCTGGAAGGCACTCAATTTACGACTTGGGTAGAACTGCCTCCTGAAATAGTTGACTGTGTTTGACGCTAATGGAGTAAAGCTTTCGAGACCTTCATTTGCTGTTGGGTAACAACTCAAAATTAGGAGAAACAGTTGTAAACATCCATTAATAATAGTAACATGGAATGTATGAAGTATGAATCTAGGAAAATGCCAGTTGTCAAAAATGGAATACCTGAAGATCAATATCCTAGGCATTAATGAGCTGAAATGGACTGATGTTGGCCATTTTGAATCTGACAATCATATGGTTTACTATGCCGGGAATGACAAATTGATGAGGAACGGCATCACATTTCATCAAAAAGAACATTTCAAGATCTCTCTTCAAGGGTAATGCTGTTTGTGATCAGATAATATCCATATGATTACAAGGAAAACCAATTAATACCACTGTACTCAAATTCTGCACTTACCACTAAAGCTAGTAATGATAAACTTGATTTCTGTGTGTCCTTGTGTATAGTTGCTATCTTTTATGTTGTTTAAACACGGTCTTTGTAATGAAGAAATCATTGACCTTGCATTCTACCATATGATCTCCAGCATAGTTTCTCTCACCAACACCGTATTCTCCAACTCCTGACTCCACTCTGTTTCCAACCATTGTATTTCAAGCACCAGTAATTGTCAATACATCTTTATTACATGTTTGATCATTTCAGACTGAAGAAATTGATAGAAATCTTCAATTTTATCATCTCTAGCTTTAGTAGTTGGTGCATAAATTTGAACAATAGTGGTATTAACTGGTCTTCTTAGTTGTTGTTGTTGTCAGGTGCCATTGAGTCGGAACCGACTCATAGTGACCCCAGGCACAGCAGAACGAAACAATGTCCGATCCTGGGCCAACCCCACCACCGCTGCCACACTTGACCCCATCAATGATGCCACCTGGCTGATCCATCTCGTTGGGGGTCTTCCTCTTTTTCTCTGACCCTCCATCTTACCCAGCATGACATCCTTTTCCAGCAACTGTTCTCTCCAGACAATATGTCCAAAGTATGAGAGACGAAGCTTAGCCATCCTGGCCTCCAAGGAGCACTCTGGCTGCACTTCTTCCAAAACAGATCTATTGGTTCTTTTGGCAGTCCATGGCACTTTTAGTATTCTCCTCTAACACCACAACTCAAAGGCATCAATTCTTCTACGATCCTCCTTATTCACTGTCCAGCTTTCACATCCATATGAGGTTATTGAAAATACCACGGCCTGGGTCAGGCGCACCTTAGTCCTCAAGCTGACATCCTTGCTCTTCAACACTTTAAAAAGTTCCTGTGCAGCAGATTTGCCCAATGCAATACGTCGTCTGATCTCTCTCAGTAGGCATATGGATATTATCCTATTACAGACAGCATTGTACTTCAGGACAGATCTTGATATATTCTTTTTTTATAATGAAGGCAATGCCTTTCCTCCTCAATTTGTCATTCCTGGTATAGTAAACCATGTGATCAGATTCAAAATGGCCAAAACCCATCCATTTCAGCTCGCTAATGCCTAGGATATTGATGCATTCTATTTCATTTTTGACAATTTCCAATTTTACTAGATTCATGCTTTATACATTCCATGTTCTGATTATTAATGGATGTTTACAGCTGTTTCTCTTCATCTTGAGTTGTGCCCCACCAGAAAATAAAGGTCCCAAAGGCTTTACCCCACTTGTGTCATCACAGTCAACTCTACTTTGAGGAGGCAGCTCTTCCTCAGTTGTAATTTGAGTGCCTTCCAACCCAAGGGATTCACCTTCAGGCACTATATCTGACAGTATTCTGGTGCTCTTCATCATGTTTCAATATTTAATATTCTGGTGTTGACTGTTTCACTGTTACTCATAAGGTTTACAGTGACTGAATATTTCAGAAGTAGTCTCTCTCTCCTTCCTAGTCTGTCTTCATGTGGAAACTCAGCTGAAACCTGTCCACCATGAGTGACCATGCTAGCATTTAAAATCCCTGTGGCGTAGATGAGTGCCCTGTATAGGGTTTCCGAGAAGCACTGGTGGGTTTGAACCGTGCACCTTGATGTTCAAACTGACCTTTCAGTCCAGTGTATTATCCTGCAGCTCCTCACCAGGATTCCAAAGATGACTATACAAATGACACTCCCCAGATGGAATACACAGAAATCGAATTGACTACAACTGTGCCAAGAGACAGTGGGAACGCTCTATATTAGCCACCAAAATAAGGCCAGGGGCAGATTATGGAACAGACCATCAATTGCTTATATGCAAGCTCAGGCTGAAGCTGAAAAAATTTAAAACAAGTCTATGAAAGCCAAAATATGACCTTGTACATATCCTACCTGAATTTAGAGATCATCTCAAGAACAGATTTGATGCGTTAGACACTAATGACCAAAGACCAGAGGAGTTCTGGGATAACATCAAGAACATCATACAGGAAGAAAACAAAAGTCATGAAAAAACAAAAGGTCATTAAGGAAACAAGAAAGAGTGAAAAGACCAAAATGCATCCGTTAGAAGAAGAGACTGAAACTTGCTCTCCAGTGTAGAGAGGCTATAGCAAATAGAAGAAATGAAGAGGTGAAAGAGCTGAACAAAAAATTTCAAACGGCAGCTCAAGAAGACTAAGTCAAGTATTATAATGAAATGTACAAAAACCTGGCATTAGAAAACCAAAAGGGAAGAACATGATCCAGTATTTCTCAAACTGAAAGAACTAAAGAAAAAACTCAAGCCTCAGCTTGAAATATTGGAGGGTTCTATGGGCAAAAATGTTAAATGTTGCCAAAAGCATCAAAATAAGATGGAAGGAATACACTGAATCACTGTACCAAAAAGAATGTTCCATGTTCAAGAAGGTAGCATATGATCAAGAGCCAGTGATACTGAAGGAAGAAGTCCAAAGTGCACTGAAGCATTGGCAAAGAACAAGGCTCTCGGAGTTGAAGAAATACAAATTGAAATCTGTAACAATCTGATGTAGCACTGAGGCACTCATCTATGCCAAGAAATTTGAAAGACAGCTACCTTGCCAATCTTATTGGAAGAAATCTATATTTGTGCCCATTCCAAAGAGAGGTGGCCCAATGAAATGTGGAAATCATCAAACAATATCATTAGTATCACATGCAAGTAAAA